CTTTAAATTAAATAACAATAAAACTGGGATTCCTTCGAGTAGAGATTGCACTGCTGGCTAAAACTCAGCAACAGGGATAGGTGACACTCATTCTTCACCCTCTTCTTACTTTAAACTGCAGCACAAAGAGATTGGTCCAGGTTGAGATAAGGAAGGAACGGAGGGGAGTTTCTACTTCCATAAAGAAGGGTCCATATGTTGGATCCATAAGAAGCTCCTTCGTCGGCCATTTTGAGATTTCGTGTCAGGTTATGTAGAAGGAGTGGAAATGCGTGGGCAGTGTAAAATGCTCTTTTGTCATCATATAGACTTCGTATATGATACCAGATGTCAACGATGAAGACCTAGAATAAAATCTGAGAAGGCATCGAGTGCCAAAGACACAAATGGCCCGTTTCATTCTCATTTAATGTCAGTCGTGTAGTGGACTCGCTGACATCTCATCATCCGCTCAATGACTAATGCACGAGATCACGTCTTTTGGTTAATTCCATAGCATCGGATATGGGACAAGGAGAATGGATTAGCATTCTTCTACAAATCAACCTTTCTTCGACTTTCCTTACATGTCTTAGTAACCCACCACTCATAGGGCTGAATTAGTTCTCCTCACGAGAGAATCTTACACTCCAAGTTTGAATTGGATAACAAGATTGATGATATTGCCTCATCCTTAGACCTCGGTATCTAACCTGATGGTCCTCTTCCAAGCAATGATGATGATGATGATGATGATTGAGGACCTCATTTATATGACCCATACACAGTTGATGGTCAGCAAAATTCCTCTGGTTTCAAAGCAACCAATGCATTGCATTCGCTTTAGTGAATCCATTCATTTCCTCGTATTTTCTTTCGTTCTGAGAAGACTTGAATGTTTCATCATCGTCTAGCCGCTGTGTCAGAGCACTGGTTTGACCTCACAGTTGGAAGACTTGGAGGATTTCATTGGTTCAATCACACGTGTGACTGAACGGGAAGAAAATAATGGCTCAGGCAATTCCACGGCTAATCTTGTCAAATGACCATTTGTTACTACAGGTATATATAAGTTGTTACTCAGAGCAACTAAGTCAGTGAGGCAGGGACGAAACCGAAAGGCAATATCTCTTCATAACGGCTGTAGGTGAGTCCATTTACATAACACGTACAACAATTGATGATGCCTTGAAATATACTTTCAAGTAATTTCTTATTTTTGCATTATTGGGATTATTTGTTCAAGTTTGAATACTAGACATGATCCATTTGACCCACAGCGAATGCAATGTTCTTCTTCTGAAGGAAGTGTTCATTTTCTACCAATTAAAGCAACTACGATTGCATGAGTAACATTAATATAAAGGATAGCCAAATGTACTTTATTTGGTGGAGAGAAAGTTTCGAATAACGTATGTCAACGCAAAAGTTGGAGACACAACAGTGGTGGCCTCACTCCAAACTGGAGTAGGATTTAGCTGTGCTTGTCGCCCTGTCATTTTCAAAGGCGTCCGAGGCCTCTCGAGCTAACAAGTGACTTTCGTCACTGCCTTCTGGACAGAGGAGCCGGAAAGTCTGTACACCCCGCCCTCCAACAAGGTAGCTCAGGTAGGTGCGAGTGAAGTAGAGGAGATAGAGAAACACCTGTTTGGAGTGGGAGGGGGATTTAAAATGCATAATATAATGGATGGACGAGTGTTCTGCACCGTTTGGGTGCGCTACCTTTCCGATAAAATCGTTTTGTTTGTTCAGATTAAGAACTCACTTGAATGAAACAACAGAAAAGAAGAGCTAAAACGCATGCACCAATCGCAAATCCAGGTCTGTTCCAATTGAGAATGGGATAGATAATACCGTTGCCAGTGAATCCTCCACTTCCAGATAGCCAGTAAATGTATGTGAAGAGCCCATACAAAATCCCTACTACGAGGGTGTAGACACAATGTACCAGCCGCATTGGAAGGTTATTGATGAACACGTCGACGATGACGAGGAGGGCTGGAATTGAGTGCTTCAGTTTGGAAGTCAGTTTAAAGAAGTAGGCTAAACGAGAGAGACAGAAGAACTGCATAAAATAATGTAATATCCTTCTGCTCTCTTCATTCGATTAGTATCGTTTATGGAGGAGTCAGTAAGTCCTTGGAGAGCAGCAATATCGAAGGAGGTTTATGAATTCTCTGCAAACATCTGAAACATAGCTTTTGTAGGATATATGCTTGGCAAATGCAAGGTGTCATTCAGCAAGCCTCTAGCACAATTTCTTACGGAAGACGCTTTGCTCCTTCTAAAAGACGAGTGAAGGAATCTTTTAGTCCATGAAATACGCCCATTCTTCTCAGAGTCATGATTAGGAAGTTGCAAACAAAATCCCAAATCCAGTTTTTATGCTTGTGATAGGATTCTGCTTCACTAGTTGCCCCTATTAGCATCTTTAGAAGGGCAGAAAGTTATGCGCAAAAATAGCAACATGGACTCTTTAAAATAAAGCAGTATGGATACCATTTTGGACCAGAATAAATTGCTCTTAAGGCAGATTATGAAAACACGCGCATATGATTAACATGAAATGAACTAGCGATGAAGGTGTGATGCTGAAACTCAGACACAGCCAACCCATTGTTTCATCTTACTTCAAACCCTCCTCCCCGTCGAAATACTCCGTTAAGCTCCCGTCTCAGCGTAACCAAATCCCTTACACTCAATTCATCCGAAGGAAAGGGAAGGAGCAATAGGGATGCCGATACAGCAGTGATTATGGCGTTGTCATTGTCAAATAAAGCAATATGGGATCAAAAATTACATATGGGTCGGCAGAATATATGAAATAGCAGCCAAGGCATCAAAAATAAAGAATGCACATAGATTGTTCTATCATACATTGCACTTGTCTTTCCTCAATCAACTAATACCTAGTTTGGAGATCAACGTTTAAATTTAACTCGAAGCCCGATTTTGGTGACTTAATCAACTAATATGGAGTCTGTAGACTGCCAGTGACTTCCTTCATTCCCCAGCACTACGCTTGCAAACGTCCTCACCGTAATCGCGATCCCAAAATGCAATCCAATAGATGCCCGATGTTGTTACCATTGCGTTGGCGGAAATTACGAAGAAGAACCAGAGGATCCTATCACCAACCACCGAGTTTGTGCAACCTACAATCACCTGTTGACTAGGGAATGAGCATTACCTTCATTTAGCCTGCAGTTGATGCAGAAGGCAGCGAATCCAACTGAGGTAAGGGTGAGGATAATGAATGCCCATTCAGTGGCATAGGTGAACCAGAGAAACATGGGCTTGTCTCGAAATTGACGAAGCTCGAATGGGATTTCACAACCCAGCCATGTAACGAGAGCTGTTGCTATGACGAACCGGAAAGAGATGTAAAAGGCTCCATCCATCCATTGCCACTGAAGGACAAAAATGTGTCTATTTTGTAATTATGGTTAACAAATGTCTTTCTTTAGATGGTAAAGACTGGAACCCAGCATAAGGCAACAGAACAAAGTCTATTTGAATGCAACCTATCGGTGAAACAAAGTAGACTTGAAACTCGCTACTTTTGCTCTTCACATGGGGAACACACTACACTCTCAAATGAGACATTGCTGCTTCTGGGAAGCGAGTCTTCGTCCATGGACTAATTTATCACTCTACCGTACAGCCTAGTTGGAGCATAATCTAAAGCACTTCACATGCGTCCCCAGTTTGTGCCTTTATTTCAACAACCTTCATCATGTTGAATTTTCTCCTGCTTATGCAAAGAGGACCTGCTAACGTTAATTAACTCCTGAACGAGATTTATTTAACGCAAAAATAAAGGTCCTTCCATTGCATCAAATCAGTTCATCATAAAGCTTTTCAAAGTCAGCATAGATAATTTGCCTGGAACAGCAAATTTATTTGGAACATTTCGAAACTCGACTGCTACTGCTTCACTCCCGTGGATGCCCTAAATGCACTTAAAGAATCGCATTTGATTTTCGAAGTATTTTGAAACACTGCCAGCTTCAGGGATGTTTTGAGCAGTTGCAATTTATTATTCCCAATCGATTAATGGAGGTTTCCATGACCTCAAGTGGGGCTTATGGCTACCGCTTTGGTCCAGAAATCAACCAAATCGGAGAAGGTACAATGGAACCTCTTTAGTGTAAAGTGTTAGAAGAATGACTAGCATTAAGACAATGGTCCGATTTCTCCCATTTGCGATGTTTTCAAAGAAAACACATCTGGTGATCTCGATTATCATTGTTTTGGCCGACAATTTTGGGTAATGCTTAAATTATACGACTTTGTAACCTCTTGACGCCCATTTTTGTGTGCATTTCCTGTAATGCTAAGATCTATTTCGTAACGCGAAGACTTAAAAAGTTAACTAATTACCTGCGAGAAAGATAGCTGTATTGGATCTGGGTGTTGCAAACTGAACGATTTCCAGCTGAACTCAGATTTCAGAGACCGGCAAAACAATGCGCAACAAGTTCTTCCCTGAGGGCCTTGTTGCATTGTTTTTTAAATTTGGAATCTAAAATATTGTAGAATAAACCCGTTCCCAAAGTGTAGCTTATCCATTTATTAGTAGTTTGAGCAAAATCCCTCATCTCCAAAATTTAGAGCATCTGAATAGTGTGCATAACACTTACCCTGCTATGTGAGACATTTGTCACACAGTGAAAGCCATTTTCAGGACTGCCTCAGTCGTGTTTAACCAACAGGCCAATGGGAAGGTGGCAAGACATGGTCGTTGAGGCGAAGGACAAGCGACCAACAGGATTCGGGTGGCCAATCCCACCATGAATGTGGAACGCGCATTGATTTTACAATGTTATTAGCGCGTGATTAAGAAGTATAAGAAGTTAACATGATAAATTCATCAGACGACATGAATAATACAGCATGCAAGGCCGGACAGTGCTAGTCTTGCTAGAAAATGAGCCGTTATTTAGACAAGCGAGGACTATAAATGCTGAATAAGAAGGTTTGGATAATGGTGCACTTATGCTATTTATTTTTGCGGACCTGTGTACCGAAGGCTCCGCTATTGCAGCTATATCCCGTGATATACCATGAGGCATCCGTTTGATGTACGGAAATACATCATTAGCCTCCATATATCGGCTTACTATAGCAATTAAGTAAACGACTTAAAATGCAGGGGTCAGACTTTGCTATACGATTCAAAACCAGCATTAAAAGCCATAAATTAATTTCAATTCAACTACTTTCATTTGGGTAATGGTCTAAAGTGGAGCGAAGGTAGATAACTTTTGAAATGCACCTGTTTCGGCAACAGCTTAATCCATGTCAAAGTCCCAACATAGGCTATGCTGAATCCAACCAAGTTAAAATTTAGGATTACAATCACTAATCAAATTGATTAATTCTATTTACGAAAAAAATACAGACCCATGATGCACTGCAACAAGGCATTGCTGGCTTTTTGGCGCGTTTTTCGTCACTCCTTTTTTGACGCAAGTAACCCAGGTGGTTACTTGCATATTTCTCTGTAAAATTACAAAATTTACGTCTGCAGGGTATTGCTGTCTTCTGTTAATTGTATATCAGACTTCCTGAGTAGCAGTCTTCTTGGCGTTGCCTTGTGAGTCGTACGCTATTCACGCGATATACCTGCTGTTCTTTAACAAAATTACGGTGGTATTTCTATAATTTTTATACCCATCCATTTATCTGAGATCCCACAACTGAAGCCTTTTTCTACTTTAGGCGTTTTAGGATTGCACAGTTCTTGAACATTTATAGTGCCCAATGTTATTATTATTGGATTTGGGCACTGTGCCCCTTTTATTGTTTTAAAACACAAATTTTGAGGCATTCACGGGTTGGCAATTGGCTTAATTTTCTTCTCTCACCTTTCATTATACAGCTACACGGGATGTCCGGTTTGTGGCGAATCTCTTCGATGCTTGCTGCCTGTCGACTGAGTACGTCACTTGCATATGTTCCATCCCTTATGGTCCGCAAACTACACCTTCCACCGTCTATTCCACAGAAGATTATGCATCAACACAGATATGAGCCGTACGTCACTCCACCACATCATAGCAGTCCCGAACATGAAAAGTTGCTGAAAGAGGAACTTGTCGACTTTCCCCCCTACCGCAACCGCAAAAGTGGGGTCTTCATTATCTTCTAGTGCTTTATTCCTTAGTTCGACATGGTTTTCAAGATGCTCGAATGGTTCGCGACTATAAGCGTCGAATAATAGCTGCTTACTTTTCACCTCTCCGCATTCGACTCAACGCTATTCGAAAGAACCCTCTCCTTCCTAAGGACTTGCGTGTACGTTCAGATTTCATGCACTTTACATGCCTTTCAATCCCTTTCAAAGGAGTCATTTCCATTTTAGGATACCGCTTCTTTGCAGTTGCACTCTTTGCCACGAGATAGCTGCTGGACGCGCATAATGACTCGTTGTGTGGTGACCTCACGTCGTCGTGGCTGCAAGACTCGTTGGCGTGTCTCACGCATCATCTTTCGCAACTATGCTGATTATAATCGGATGTCGGGGGCCCAATGGGCTGTATGGATTCATCAGACACAGTGTACTCGGCGTCATATGCTTTGGCCACCGCCAGCGAATGTGAAGACAGTAAAAGACTATGTGAAAAGGTATTACGAGAACATTGCAGATTAGCTGTATGTAATACCAATGTGTCTGTAGATACGTTCGGCGGCAATGTAAGGTCCTTCTCAGATTTCGCTTCAAAGTGCAGCTTTGGCTACTAAAATAGAGTTTAACTTATCATAGATCAGTAAGATGGTATTTTAACCATTCCTGGGGCACTTGAAGATCTGTTGACTCAAATTGCTGATAGTTACTGGTGTTCGATAACTTAATGAGCTCTTAAACACGAAAGACAATGCTTATGACAAGCTGGTTAGTCGATCAGCTCTGATAGTTTGGCAAAACACTTTCCACAGCTCCCTCGCAGTCATCAAGGGGATTCTACTAATGCGACAGTTTCTGCTCTCTGACTGACGAAACAACTACAGCTGATGCTTAGGCAGTCCAGCCTCTGATCTACTGGTTCAAACCATCTTAGCTTACTCAGTAGGTTTCAAAATAGTTCAAAAATCATCTGGTTGCATACGAGTTGAAAAAGAGATTATGTTCGAAGCCGAAGGATTTTATTAATGAAAACACGTGCATTAAAAGTCATGGTAGCAAAGTCGTCGCAGTCCAAAACATTCAGTAAAAAGGTGATGAAGTGGGAATCTTTGAAAAGGGTGATGTGAAGAGTAGAACTGGAAAAAAATACATTTGAGCACCGCTTCATCTCAGATCTAAAAAGAAAATATTGCTTATCCTTGGAGAACAAAGCAGGACCTTGTGCAGCATACAGTAACACTTATTTGTGAAATATCGCATCACACCCACGCCCAATAGAGGCGTTGCCACATCATCTCTACACTGTTTCGATGTCATCTCGTCTAAATGCCAAATAGGTATTTTTATACGCCTATCGTAGCTTTTGAATGTCTCCGCCATTGGACGTCGAAGTCGAAAGCCGATTAAAGGGAAGTCTGTACTCGCACCGTAAAAGTATGCTGAAGGGGTTAGATTGTTGTTTTTGTTCTCATTTGTGCGACGATTTCCAGTTCTCACCAAACTGCTACGATTCCCTACCGCCTAAGCAAAATCCTTAGGCAGACAGATTCTCCACACCCAATAAGATATCAAGTCTTTTCCCCAAAGATCAAGAAGAATAAGCGGCAAAGGAGACGAGCTACAATTGCCAATTTGAGGTGAAACTGTTCTTTTCGTTAGCGCCTTGCCTGCGTAAGACCAAACTGGAAAGACTGACAGTTTTCTTTGAAATAAAAAACTTATTCTACTGCTGTACCAGACAATTGTGAGGGTACCACGATAATATTATTTATTTGCCCTTCTCTTGGGCTATCCAGTCTTAAGATGTTCCGATTTCGAAATCTTTCAGCGTTTCGGATACTTCTAACAAGGTTTATTGCTCGATTTCTTTGAAAAAGACTAAATCAGGTCTAATCTTTGCAAAACCACAAATGCCGATTTTTGACCTTAAAAATAGTGCGAGCCTAAACAAGAAGCTAAATGAGTTGCAGCCTACATTGCTTGAAGAGATACAGCCACTGATTGCGAGTGTTGGACATATATACGCATAAATGGCCTTACCTAGTCCGCCTTTGGGTGCCGATGCGCAGCCGCCCGTGCTGCATTGACTTTGCGTGCTTTGCGCTTCTTATCCTCCTCCTCCTTCTCCAGGATCTTAGCCAACTTGTACGAGCAGATAGCGCTTAGGAAAAAGAGCGGTGTCACAAGGATCAGGATAGTTGAGGTGAAGCCCCAGGGATCCTCCACAGCGAAGAGGGACCACTTAGATAGAAGGAAACTCGTTTAATAATTTGATTTGTGGAAGATCTCTCGAGCATCAACCATGTGACCAGTAAGACCACAGTTGATTTGAGCAAAATGGTAGGAAAATTTGGCAGCTGATATACCCTGAGTAAGTCATAATCAGATCTGAAATTTCCGCAACAAAAAAGTTCAGTTTTCATACACCTTGGTGTCATAGGCCACCTTATGGGAAACTAAATAGCAAAGAAAATCGGTTGAATTCATAGGTGGGATATTCTCTACACAACCTACCTCAATGAACTTATAGGCGAACCAGCCCTTCCAATCCTGAGGTATAGGCAGGTTCGCAAACTGTTCTTTCTTCTTCAAGAAGTCGTTCCAATTAGGACTTGCAGCTTTTGATGCTGAAACCTCTTCCATGTCTACCTAGAAAAGGATGGTGTATTTACCATCGCCCCACTTCTCAGAGGTCACAATCTCCAAAACCAGAAGACGTCCAAAACACTAGCGAAGAAAACTTTATTTGTTTGATTTACACAGGTTGGAGGAGGTTGCAGGAACAAACCAAGGTTTAGCGTAGGCCTCATCAGCCGGAAGAATGGTGAGTCTTCCCAGAGCACCATCGTTGAAAGCTCGTAGAAAATGTGTCGCCGCCGCGTCAAAATCAGGCTTTCCTACAGATTTTGTTTGGGGGGTGTCCCCGACTTCTTCCGAGGAGCGGCGATGTTCGTGACGAAGAGGTCGAATTAGATGGCGTCGCGCTGCCACCCATGCTAACAACTTATCCACTCGCTTTGTCGGTTCGGGCAGCCCGAAAGTAACCACGTATTGATAGTTGGAGTGCGAGTTCAGACAGAAGAGGAGGTAGTCCGCGAGGAGAACTACAAGCACAGACAAATAACACTAGCAGCCCTTAAAAACGATTCGATAGACGTGTCAAAACGACACCATAGAAGAGTGTGCGCCCTTGACTGTCTGAAAAGCTTGGAGGTCTCTAGCATTGATTACTCATTCATAGAAGAATGATCGTTCACTGAGGAGAGTGTAGTCTCATTCCGAAAAATGGTGAGTGGACACGAAGACATTTAGCCATCGACTCCAGCTGAGCTGATACAATTTAAATGGCATAAGTTGTGACCGGTTACTGAAATATGAGTGAAACAAGAAACAGACCCAAACAATAATGATGCGCCTATTTTCTTTTGCAGAGATAGTGAATTGTGAGGTTCTCACAATTATAGTATCAAAAGCTGCGTCTACTTACTACTTAATGATCTCGATCCACATGGAAGTAACATCACGCAAAGATTTACAGAGAACTGAAATACTATGTGATCTGAGGTAGTCTAAACTGCATTGCACAAATATCAAAGTCGGAAATTAACATGTAAAGTTAGTTTCCGTTACTATTGCTAAATCAATAGTTAATACATCGTAGATTAATGTCCTGCGATCCAAATACCTTACCGATATCAGGAGTTGATCACGTCAACTAGTTTAAACCTTTGGCATAAATTAACCCCTACAATGTAAGACCCAAATTTCATGGTGGAGTGAAATGCCTTATCAACGCATTTTACTTCCCGAAAATAGCAGACATTTTCAAAGGGAGGTCAAATTCAAAAGGAGGCCGCACATGACCAAATACACAGGCAGTAACTTTGCACTGCTCAACACCGTAATCAGCAGCTACATAAACAAAGTCAGAGCTGCTGGAACTAGCAAAATAGTGCAACAAAGGGAAAAGATTATGTTAAATATGGGCGCAAATTCAATTACTCACGTTTATTTAAAGAGGAGTGTTTTCAAAATTGTTTGAATACAAAGTAATCAGAAGGTAAGAGTTTCAATCTATTAAATAAAGAACTATTTAAGGGTTTCTAAGCAAGGCTCTTGTTCCTGCAGTGGCGACAAGATAAATGAACAACTAACCTACTCTTATCCACTGCATTCCAATCCAGTGCTCCGCAAATACCCAGGCTGAGCTGACCGCAAAGAGTTCGAGCTCTCGGCTCCAAGATGCCAGGTGTATCGACCAAACGAAGAGTGCAGAGCTCGCGTGTAGTCCCACTACTCGAAGCCACGGGGAAGTCTCGTGCAATCACTATTGGACCTCCAACGATACGCGTCAGTCCAGCATTCTTCCCTACTCCCACTGCTGCCCTCCGACAGCGCATAGGAGATGCGAAGCCGCGCAATGCATTGATGAAACTACTTTTACCGCAATTAGGAAGTCCCACTACCATCGCGTTGACGTAACGTGGAGAGCCAAACGGAGCTTCTGCACCACTAACATCGTCAGTGAACTCGTGCGTTAAGGACGATTTGGACTCAGACCAACGAGGTGCCAGTTCAGATAGCCTGTAATAAACGTGAATTAGAGCGAGACTTGATCAAAAAATGGTGGTAGGACTGATGAGTGTTTGCGGATGCAGACACTTGATTTACTTTGTAAGAATTCTACGCAGAAAGCGCTTTTGCCGCTCTGGGTGTTTAAGGTTTGTATAGAAGACTTCTGCTGGCGGATGATACATCGGACCACAGGAAGGGTCCTCATCGATAAGCTCCCTGTATTTGGCAAAGTCGTCGACTGGCTCCGAAAGGTCTGTCTTCGTCAATACTAATATATGCGGACGAATCTAAAAAAGTGAAGGAAAGAATGAAAAGAACTATGTCAAATAAAAAAGTAACCAACATTGTCCATGTCCTGAAATAGCTATTTCATAAGCTAACACACCTGGCCGACTTCTTTTAAGAATTGACAGCGCCCAGTCAACGGGATGCGAGAATCATGAAGCTCTATGATTATATCAGTCTCAGTCAAACGAGAAGAGATATCCTTGAGACCTTTTTGTATATGTCCGGGATACCAGTTAAGTGAGTTAGGCAAGATGTAACGAACGTGACAAAAACATGGCATTGTTGTACAAAAACGACGCAAAGTTAAAAACGCCTTCATAATGGAGCAAGTCTTAACTGAATTCCAGCTAAAATAGTACAGACGCCGCTTCCTAAATTCGCCGCCTACTCCCAAGCGTGTTATAAGCCAGCTTAGTTATATCTGAGCCTTTATGAGAAATTTCCATACTTTTTTATACCATATTATTATTATTTACTATACGACAGGACATTGTTCTTCCTGACAACTAGAATGTGCAGCCGTGTCTCCAAAACAGGAGGTCCAATAACATGCCACAAATAAAGAACATCAAGGATGAATAAAAAATAGGCTTTCTCTAAAGCTAACATATCTTCCTCATTAATAGATATAATGCATCGGCCTCACGTCATTATGGCTGAGTTATTCGTTTCACACCCATTTCATATTGCTATATTGATATGAGTAAATTGTTCCCTTCCCATTAAGCCGTATCTAGTCGTTTTTGTTAAAGCATCCCAAGACTTCTTATATACTAGAAAAAGGTGTAGGAACTGCCTGTCTACGCTCTGGTCAAACTTCAAGAGGAAGTTGGTTATAGACGACTTACTGGGCATTGCTATTAGGAAGGATGAGAAATGGGATACAGATGAGGTGAGTGGGAGATATCGATCACAGGGAGGCTCCACACCGGCTTCACGCACAAGATTTACGTTCCCGATAAGTTCCCGCCTCTCACATATAAAATTAGACTTAAAAAACTGGTATATATTATAGAAGGCAATACATCAGACTGTAGAAAAGTTTTCTTAAGAGAACAGAGCAAATAGGCCTAGACATAACCCAAAAGCCACCCCACGTGTACAAGGGACAGGCAACTACTAAAGGAATCAAGCATAAGAGTTGCATCTTGAGACTTCCCACCAAGTGAAAGAAGGCAGTAAGTGAAGCTGAATACATGTATTCCGAATAGGGCAACGTGGGTATGCCTGAGCATGGCCTGAAGGAAGGCCCACGTTTACAAGGGCCAGATAAATTCTAAAGTGACGCCAAACGTCAGGTGGTTTCCATCACAAAGCATTACACTACCCCTCTCTTCTTTGAGTAACGTTCTCGGACGCCCTCCTTAGTACATCTCGCGCGCCAGCCATCACTACATATTCTGTACTACAAGAAAGCACCCACGAGTC